TCGCTGTGAGCTTCCTCTTTTACATCGACCCTCTTCTCTAGCCAGCACGGTGCCCTTCTCCGGGGACTGGTTCTCCTGACAGTGTGTCCCAAGGACACATCCTTCCTTGCCTCTAAGGAGCACCCTGGCTGCACTTCTTCCAAGACAGTGCTGTTTATCAGCAGCCCACGGTAGGATTTTCATTGAGTATTTGCTATCTACCGGGAGCTGTGCTACGGTGCTTGCTGTGTCTCAGTGCCACCCATCAATCCTGACTCCTAGCGACCCTGTGAGACAGGGTCAAACTGCCCCAGAGGGTTCCCAAGGCTGCCATCTTTGAAGACATTGATTCCCACATCTTCCTCTTACGGAGCAGCTGGGTGGGTTTGAACCACCGACATTTTGGTTACAGCCAAGTGCTTCGCCACTATGCCACCGTGGCTCTTTTAACTTGATGAGACTTCAGATGATGTTCACTACAGTTTTGCAAAGTGCCTGGACACTGCACCTCCACTTTTCAAATAGACATATTTTAGGTATGAGGCCATACCTACCGCGCCTCATAGGAATTAAACAACAGATGCAAGGTCAGTGCCGAGGGGCCGGTGGACTGGGATGCCGACTCCAAGCCCATGCTCTGACTCAGTGCTCGACACCCGCTCCCGACACTGGCCTGAGGCCTGCAGAGACAGGCAAGCAAGTCCGAGTCACCGGCCACAGCCGTGAGCCCACCCTGCTAACTTTGCCCAGACGGGCCACTTCTCCAGGGGCCTTGGCTGCTCCGTGTGTACCAGTCAGAGCTGTGTCCTCGGTGCCTGCACACAGCCTGGTAGAGGGCATCATGGCTTGTTCCATGAAATACGTGTCTTCAATATAAAAATAATGTTTCTTAGAGGAACTCATATGGCTGCGTTATAAGACACATGAATGACTAGGAAAATGGTAACAAGGAGATGGTGTGTGTATTGGGGTGTTGGTGGAGAGGGCATACCCCAATGCTGTGGGAATTCAGAGAAAGAAGTTGAGGGACTTACAGTTCCTGGTAATCCAGGGGGGCCTGCGGGACCAGCTTCACCCTGGATGAAGAAGTGGGGGAAATAACAACCATTAGTCTTCCAGTCCACTCTGCTTGCTCCGTGGCTGATCAGGTCACATCGTCTCTCTCAGTGGGATCAGCCCCTGCAGCAGCCTCCATGGACTAGACCGCAGATGGACGGGTAGATGGGTGGGTGCATAGATACATAGATAGATAGATACATAGATAGATAGATGATACACAGGGAGATAGGGAGATAACAGATAGACTGAAAGACTGACAGACAAATGATGAGATAGATTGTCAGAGAGAGAGATTACACACTGATGACAGGTAGATGGCACACAGGCAGACAGAGATGGTTGGTGGTGTGTGTAGAGAGAGAGTTGGAGAAATAGTGAGAGTGCATGTAAAAGAGAGGTTATACATCGGTGGTAGGTAGACAGATAATGGGTGGACGATAGCTGGAAGAAGGGAGGAAAGGAGGGACAGAGAGTGGGTAAAGAGATAGACATACTACAACCATGATAGAGACATGGAGTCATGATTTCCTGATGACAGGTAATTCAGTCAGATTGATCAATTGACGGACGATGGATGAATGGCTAGAAAGATGGTTGGAAAGTGAGTGAGAGAGAGAGAGAGAGAGAGACAGGTGATACGCTAATGGTGGATAGAAGATACATAGTCAGATAGTTCGACAAGCAGACAGATCAAGCCCAAATTACAAAACGGTTCACACATAGGAAAACATATTCGGTTCACGCATGTTCACACTTTCGGGGAAGTATTTATGTTGGCAATGTTGTGGGATTCCATTGGCTATATAGCCTAATAAAGTGACCTGTCATCATTGTCTTGTTAATGACATGTAGGTTGTTTTCCATGTGGTGCCATCACAAATGTTGCACCTGTGCACACCAGCCATGTCTGAAACCTAGCTCCTTTAGAATCCTCCACCCCTGTCACTGTAGGGCTGCTGGGCCAAGGAGCAAGACTGCATTTCTGTCACAGCACAGGTGCTGGAGCTGAAACACATGGCTTGAGATCCATTTGGTATTAATAAGTCATTTCACCTCTTCCTGTGTGTTTTCCTCAAGGTAAAACAGGGATGATAAGAGCACCTACTGCTCACAGCATCTTGTGGGGCAGCAATGAGGATAATCTGCGGAAGAGGCTCAACCAGGAGGAAAAGTGGACCCTGAGCTGTCCAGGGTAGGAGGGGTCATGATGAGTGGCGTGGTCACCAAAGCTGTCACTTCACAGACGCAACAAGAGAGTCAGGGACTGGACCTCTGTGTCAAGGTCTGCTCCTGACACCAACCCAGTGTTGGGACTCTGGCAGTTCTTCCAGTGTGAATAGTGGACAGATGATGCTTGGATGGATGGATGGATGGATGGATGGATGGATGGATGGACGGACGGATGGACGGATGGATGAATACAGTAGTCTAGAGAGGAATGCAATAGATGGATAGATAATGGATGGTTGGTGGATGGATGGAAGGATGGATGAATGAATACAGTAGTTTAGTGAGATGAGCTAGATGGATAGATAAGGAATGGTGGGTGGATGGATGGATGGATGAATGGATAGATGATAGATGGATGGATGATAACTGGCTGGTGGGTGAAGGGATAATAAATGGATAACTAGATTATAAATGGATGGATGGATGGATGGATGGATGGATATATGATTGAGAGAGGGACAAGCTGATTAACAACTTTTGGAACCTTCTGGGACAGCTCTGCTCTGCCCTTCGCTGTCTTTTGGAGTCAAAATCAATTCAAGGGCAACGAGTTTGGTTTGGGATTGCGGATGAATTTAAACGTCATGCGGTTTGTTACTACAATGAACCCTGTGAAAGCCTGAATCTGCACAAGGTGGAAAACTGTCCACGGAGGAGCACTCAGACTCAGACACTTCCACTGAAACAAAGGGTGTAGACGTGGTCACGCTGCAGCCTGCGAGAGCCGGAAACCTGGGGAGGGTCTGCAACAAGGCACTGGTGCTGCCATCTGCTCGTGTGGTTGTGATCTCTATGACTGACTGTCCAGGGTTGCATCCCAGGTTCAAGTGCTTCACATGGCCCAGACCACTTGCTCTGTGTAGAGATGCCTCCAGGTAGAAGCTCTGGCCACCCCACTTCAGAGGGAAGGAAGGCAGAGCATGAAGACAGCCATGAACCTGCCCAGTGTCACACCGCCAGCGCACAGCAGAGCCTACTCTGCACTCAGAATCCACGGTCTCTGCTTCATAAACCGAAAAGGCAAATCCACTGATACAGAGCTGATTCTGACACACAGTGACCTAACAGGACAGAGAAGAGTTGATTCTGATTCACTAAGCCCCAGCGAACAGAGGAGGGCTGATTCTAACTCACTGAGGCCCAATGACACAGAGAAACTACCCTATAGGGCAGTGGTTCTCCATCTTCCTCATGCCACAATCTTTTAATACAGTTCCTCATGTTGTGCTGACCCCCAACCATAATTATTTTTGTTGCTACTTCATAACTGTAATTTTGCTATTGTCATGAATCGGGTGACCCCTGTGAAAGCATCATTCGACCCCCAAAGGGGTCGCGACCCACAGGTTGAGAACCACTGCATCCGAGAACATTGGTCTTTATGGGAGCAGAACGCCCAGTCTCTTTCCAGTGGACCTACTGCTTGGTTTTAGCTGCCGACCTCGCTGTAGCAGCCAGACTCGGCACTTCTGGCCATCGCTTCACCCCTGCTCCACAGCCCGCCCCATTTGGACCACAAGAATCTACCGGAGAAGTGGCAGTGCTCAGACCTGAGTGCACAGATAGAGGAGAAGACTCCAAGAGAAGCCCTGCCCCAGGAGCAGGAACCTACCTGTGAGCACACCTGCTGACCTCAGGGTCTGCTCCCAGAGAGGGGTCCCTGCGTGGGGACACATGGCCTCCCAGCAACTCTGGGAGAAAGCGTGGTGAGGGAGGAACTCCGAGGTTGAGAGAGGATGTGACCGGCCCCTGGCATTATCTACCAGGAGTGCTTTTACCTTCAGCAGCCCCCACTGGGAGGCACTTTATTTTATCTCTTCCAAGAAGCTAAGTCCCTGGGAGGCCCCAGCACTGTGCAATTGGCTGCAAGCCTAAAGGCTGGGGTTTGAACCCACCCGGCGGCACCGTAGCAGAAGAAAGACCCGGCAAACAGGCTTCCACAGAGACGACAGCCGAGCAAGCACCAAGGGGGTGCTCTGCTCTGGGGGACTGGACTGGACAGTGGTGGGTGGCTTTGTGCTTCAGAGGGGACTGAAACGAGGGCCGAATGGATGTGGAGCAGAGACAGGGTGAGCATGGTGAGGTCAGCCGGGGCTGATGTGGATTTTTAATTTTACTAAATGCACCCATTGTGACAGTTTAGGTTTTTCGTGCCAACCTACCACCTGTAAGAAGATATGGGTGGAGTTTAGCTTGTCAGTCAGGCAGCAGCCTGATGGCATCTCTTGGACGTTCATCTGAGAAATATATCTCTCTGCAAGCTGGTGTTCTCTCTCTCTCTCTCTCTCTCTTTCTCTCTCTCTCTGCCTTGAACTACCTGCTCGCTAGACATCCTGTGAGCTACTGGACCCTTGTGATGTTTTCCACCGACTTTGGATCCACATGACTTTGCACCCACCACCTGTGATCTTCCTGCATTCTGCATCATTGCATGTGAGTGTGTGAGTCTGAAGAGGGACTTATGGACTAGTATCAGACTTATGGACTTGAGCTGGACTGGGCTGGGATGTTTCCTCGGTATAGACTTACTCCTTGATAGAAAGTTCCTTCTTCCACATATATGAGTGGCACTGGGTGTGTTTCTCTAGTCAGCCAGCCTCGCACACCTACCCTGGCCTATCTCTCTGGAGCTGGGGAAGAAGGAGGAGCTTCTCTGGAAGGCTGAGTGCCATCAGCTGTGTCTCTGGCGGGACCAGGGCTCTGTGGTCCTGCTGAGCCTTCACACCCTGGAAACAAGCATCTCGCACAAAAATAGCATTTCTGAAGCATCTGCAGAAGCAGTGGGGCCAAATGGCTTCCCCGGGCCAAGCTGGCTCTGTTTTCAGATGGCAGATCGGTGGAGAGAAAAGCCCAGGGCAGAGGATGGAGGGATGAAGGCTTGGACCTGGAGGGGACAGGACACAAGGAAAACTGGGGGAAGAAGGCACTGAAGAAGTGGAGGGAATGAGATGGGGAACCCCTGGTGTGTGTGTCACCCACCCTCTAGCACCCAGTGGGTGGCATCTGGATCAAATGGTCAGGGTTCAAATCTTGACTCTTCTGAAGCTTAGCCATGCCAGCTGGGCAAGGATTTAGCCTCTTCAGCTTCAGTTTGCCCATCTATGAAATGGGGCTGCTGCTGTAACTAAGTTCCCTCGCAGGGCAGCTGTAAAGACAAAGTCACTGTGGGGGGCGGGGGTGTCCCATGCCAAATTCTCGTGCAGAGTGAGTCCACTATCACCAGACTTGTAGGTATCTATTGGTAACTAGAACTTGTAAGACAGAAAGCATTAATCTAGGTGGAAACGGAAGCCATCGAAAATGAAAGGGACAGCATAAAGGTCCATCTGGGAAGCAGCAGGGAGCTGGGCTGGTCTGGTGCTGGCCATTTCCAATCAACAGTCAGGGGTTACTGGGCTGCAAGGACACACTCAAGAAGAATGGTACCACGTCCATCGTCAAAAAGGACACCTCAGGATTTATCCTGAAGCACACTGCTGCCTGTGATAGGACTGTACCTATGCACATACAAGGGAATCCAGTCACTAAAACCATTATTCAAATTTACCCATCAGTCACTGGGGCTGCTGACATAGAAGCTGAACAATTCTAACAACCTCTTCAGTCTGAAATTGGTCCAACATTCCATCAAGCTGTATTGCTAATGATTGGTGATTGGAATTCATAAGTTGGAAAACAGACGAAGCTGCAAGCAAAAGATCACATGCTGCATTTCATTGCAGGAGGTAAATCTGCTGAACAAAGCCTTTTTTAAGTATTGAAGGGCAAGTCCGTTACTCTGACCTGTGCCTGACCCAACCCCTGGGATTGTCAATCAGTCATATGCACCGGAAAGGCGGGCACTGAATGAGGAGGAAGGAAGCAGAAGGGATGTGTTGGAACTGTGGTGCTGGCAACCAAAGAACTGCCAAAAGAACTCATGACGTGTCTTGGAGGAAGTACAGCCAGAGGCTCCTTAGGAGCAAGGATGGCAAAACTTGGGCATATTATCAGGAGAGACCAGTCCCTGAAAAATGACATCATGTGTGTGGTAGTTACATAATCTGGTGTCAATGTGGGGCTTGAGGGGATTAAGAGTGAAGGAGTTGAGTCTTGTCTGTCAATTGGGTCATAGCCAATGAGGCCCCTGTGTGGCATGGCCTTCCCCTGAGGATTCTGGAAAGTCTGTATGTTTCCTCTTTGGAGGCAGGAGACACACTCTCTCTATACTCGTTCTCTGAGAGGCATTCCTGAGGAGAAGCCACATGGACCTACCCTGATGCAGCCCTGGAGGCTGGAGGAGCCACCTGGAGACCCCTGCCAGCGCTAAGATGCTTACAGCACCACTGGATCCACAAGCCTTCCCACCCACTGGCCTGCGATTTTCTTGCATTTGGCATCATTGCATGTGTTTGGTGAGTCTGAAGAGGGCTTAATAGATTGGTATCGGGCATATGGGCTAAAATCAGACTTATGGACTTGATCTGGACTGGGCTGGGATGTTTTCTCAATGTTGAACTGTTCTTGTATGTAAAGCTCTTTCCTCCGCACATGAGTCCCTACGCATTTGTTTCTCTAGTCTACCCAGACTAACACAAAGTCCCTCCATTAGATGGACGGACACAGTGGCTGCATCAGTGGGCTCAAACATATCAATGGTGAGGATGGCGCAGGACCAGCAGTGCTTCCTTCTGTTGTACACAGGGTCCCTGGGAGGCAGGACAGACTCGCCGGCCTCCAACAAAAAGGGACTTATCTGCGGGGAATCGTGTCACCTGTTCCCAGCCCATCAAAAACCTTGTGTCTGGACCTGGTTGACATCTGTCCCTCTCCCAGCCCCACCATGCACTTCCTAAAGCCAACGTTTCTGCAAGCTGACAATCCAAGGCAGGGACAGGAGGATCCCTTGTGGCACTGTGGGTGGCTCACTGAGCCAACAGTTCAAGGGCAACGGTTCAAGGGCAATGGTTCAAGGGCAACAGCCAACAGTTCAAGGGCAACAGTTCAAGGGCAACAACCAACAGTTCAAGGGCAATGGCTGACAGTTCAAGGGCAACGGTTCAAGGGCAATGGTCAACAGTTCAAGGGCAACGGCCAACAGTTCAAGGACAACGGGCAACAGTTCAAGGGCAACGGCCACCCCATAGGAGAAACACGAGACTCTGTGCTCATAAAGAGTGACAGCCTTGGAATCCCAAAGAGGCCGTGCTAATGGGGTCAGAGCTGACTGGATGGTGTGGTTTTGTTTCGTGTTGTGTTGTGTTGTTGCAGGCACAAAGCACCCACTCAGCAACACACACCTGGGCTCCCGTGTGCCGACTTGCAGTTGTGAGGTGCCGAGTCATTTCCAATTTGTCATGACCCACCCTCTGCACAACCAAAGGAAACACTGCCCTGTCCTGCCCCATCCTCACAACTGCACTTGCTTACCACCTGAAGGAAGCATCGTCACATGCCTGTCTGCACATCTTGGAAAGCCACGTGGAACTGCTCACTACAGTTCAGCAAGGAAGCCCCTGCACACCTTGCTTACTGGATAATCCGCCCTGGGTCACAGCCAACTGCTGACGTAGCTATGGTTTCACAGCAGCCTCGCTCACGGAGCAGAGGAGCCTGCGGCTTCCCGGCTGACAAGCTCTCTTGCACTGGGCTGGAGCTCAGCCAGGGGGTTGGTGAGAGTTGGTTCTGACTCGTTGTCCCTCTATAGGGCAGAGGAGAACTGGCTCTTTGCGTTCAGACTGTAAATCCACCCAGGGCTAACTCCCATCCCCCCCCACAACTCCTGACACAGCAGGACATGAAGAATAAATAAGATCTGCACCCCGGTTTACTGAATCAGCCCTGACCCACCACCAAGCTGACACCAAGCTCAACCTCACCAGCAGTCAAATGGATGTTCCACAGATAACATGGGGTCTCTGAGTGGTGTGGAGGGCCCACACCCTTGGCTGCTGATATAGTTAGTTTACTGTGCCAACCTGGCCCATAAACACACATGGGGTTAATTGAAGGGCAGAGAGACAAATGGCTCGGTGAGCCTCGCCTTTCTAGTTCTCGGGTCTGTTGCTTTGTGATGGTTGGACCAGCGTGGAGCTGCCTTAGCCAGTTTCCTGCTTCAGCTGACAAGGCTCACTTCCTGCAAGGCATCCCCAAGGAGAAGCCACATGGACCTACCCGGATGCAGCCCTGGGTGCTGCGGCAGCCGTGTGGAGACCCCTGCCAGCGCTGAGATGCTTACACGTTCATTGATTCGGCTTTCCTCCTGCAGTCCACGTCATTGCGTGTGTTTTGTGAGATGGAGGAGGACTTTGTGGATTGGTGTAGGACATATGGGTTAGTGTTGGACTTGTGGGCTTGGGCAGCACTGGGTTGGGATGTTTTCTTGATGTACTTACCCTTTATATAAAACTCTCTCTATACATGAGTTTCCATGGATTTGTTTCTCTAAAGCACCCAGACTGACACAGCTGCTAACTGAAAAGAGGACAATCTCAGTCTGTCCTGAGGCACTCAGAGGAAAGGCCTGGTGATCTACTTCTGGGACAGGTTTGGGGTCAGCTTGGCTGGGCCAGGGTTTTCAGTGTGGCACTTAGAGCCTCACCCCGATGTGATCTCACATTCCGTAATCCACCCTATGATGGACTCTGGTGGAAGCGGTCAGGCAGTCAGGTCACAGCCCTGACATAATTGGAAGGATGTTTCAACGGGGGTGTGGCCTACTTCCTATGCAAGTTGACGAGGTGTGAAAGCTACCTCTTTCTTGCTGTGTCTGGATCCTGCACCTGCCTGGTCCACCTCTGATTCTTTGGTCTTGAACCAAAAGCCTGCCATATTTCCTGCTGATCCTGTGATCAGTGGACTGCCATATTGCTTGCCAACCTTGGAGTCATCCGACTCTACCCTCAGCAGCCAAGGGCCTTCCTGCTTCCAAGTTTATCTTCCTGACTCTTGGTTCCTTGGCTCCACCAACCACATGGATCTGGAAAAGCCTCCAGCTGAACATTGGACTCAGAGCCTTGAACCACACTAGACTTACCCAATTCTACACCTGTGAGAGCCCATTTGTTGACACACACTTCTTTCTTCATATAAACATGAAAGTACCACTAGCTTTACTTCTTCAGTGAGCCCAGCCCATCACAGCATCCAAACAACCAGCCATTGAAAACCCTTGGGACCAGAGTGCTACTCTGACACACATGTGGGGTCGTCATAGTTCAGAGTCAATGCAGAGGCACCATTTCTTGGTTTGTTATTTTTCCTGATCTAAAAAGAAGGACACGGGAATTAGGGAATTGAGACTGAATGCTCAGCAAGTGCTCTCCATCCTTTGAATCTCAATGACTCGGTGCTACAGGTAAATGGCTAACATCTACTGCAGAAAGTGACATTAGTATTCAGAGAGAGATTGGCCATAAGCAAGCCTAACACAGCACTCAGATCATGACAGGTGCTCACGAAGCTCTGAATAAATTAACGGCTGTGGTGACGGCCGTAGGATGGATGGATACCTTGTGACCCGAGTGTGGCTTCATTAGCATCCTCCGCTGATAGCAACAGAGAACGGACCGCCTGAGGTTCGTGTCTAACAGACTGTCGCCTCTTACAGAGGGAGCTTGAAGTCATTCGATCTAAATGACTATGAGACAAATGCTGTCTGCAGACAAACTCATACTTTAGGAAAATACAGTGACCAAGAACGGAAGATTGGGATGAGAGTAGGGAATGCCTACCTTGTCACCACGGCTGCCTTTCAATCCCGGAAGCCCCAGTTCACCTTTTTCTCCCTGGAGCAAAAGATAAAATGTGCAAGTCTTAGAAAATGTTTTGAGAATGCTCTACAAATGCGCTTTACGCAATGGATGTGTGTATGGATTGCGATAACAGTTGTATGAGCTCCTAATAAAATGTTTTTAAAAAAAAGAAATGAAACTGAGCTTATTTCCCGACTCTTCTAGGAAAAGGCAAGATATGCTGAGCTGTCTTCAAGTCCACCGCTGCCCACAGCAGCCCCATAGACAAGAGAACAAGACACTGCCCGGTCCTGCACCATCTCCCAACGGATACGCTGTCTGAGCGCACCGATGCAGCCACCGTGTCCCTCTGTCGCATGGGGGCCCTTCCTCTTTCACTGACCCTCGACTTTACCAATCAGGATGGCCTCATCCAGGGACTGGTCTCTACTGATGACATGTCCAAAGTACATGAGATGAAGCCTCACCATTGTCCACTCTCAGGAGAATTCTAGAAAGGACTACTAGAAGAATGAGGAAATCCACTCGTTCTCCTGGCACGTGATATCTTTGCAAACATCCTAATTCAAAGGCATCAATTCTCTGTCTTCCTAGTTCATTGCCTAGCTTTCTTTTCTATGCATAGGAGGCGACTGAAAATACCCTATCACAGGACTGTGGGCGAAATACATTTTGTTTACCCTCTAACCTGGCCTGGCCTGTTCCATCAAATGGCCACATTGAAGTCTCAGTCAAAGGATGGTTCTAACCATTAAGAATAAAGCACCCAGTTCTCTATTTGACACCAGAGGAGCTGACAGGTGGTACCTCCCACCTTCGTGTCCCCATCCATTCCACCTCGAGATGCCTGGCCCGATCCAAGAATGCTGCAGCCGTACTTCCAGCTGCTGCTCGATAGTCTCTGGACCAACCCCTGGATCTTGGCTAAACCCACCGAGTCCCAAAGCCTGAGCCACTCGAGGGGCCTGTTACCCATGGGCACACCCGGGGCGGCACGGTGGGAAGGGGCTACACCACGTACCTGGCTTCCTTTCTCTCCCCTCACACCTGGGAAGCCTGGAACTCCGGGGAGACCTGCTTCTCCCTGTGAAAGCAAAATGGCAGCTCTTGTTCACTAAGCATGATTGTGGACGGGCTCTTCGGGGCCAGACCTGGGCCACGTGCTCTCCAGTCCCCCCAAATCGGGCCGAGTCGAAGACCCATGGCACCACAGCGATGGAGCACGCTGGTTTCCGGGGCGTGTGCCCACTGAGGGCCTCCAGATGTTTCCTCCCTCAGCACTTCCCTTCTCCTGGACCCTGGTGTCAACCTCTTTGCTGACTAACACCTACTGGTCCTTTACCCTGGATATCACCTCACCATCTTTCTTGACACCCCTGCCCAACTGTCAGAGGAACCCTCTTGTACTTCTCCATCTTAACCTGCATGCCACCCGCCTGTTCAATTGCTCTGTGAGGGCCAGTCCAACTGAGCTCATGGGTCAAAGCCCCACTACCCAACAGAATGGTGGGCAGGCAGTAGATGCTGATCATGGCTGACCACACAGGGGAATGAATGCATGGCGTGAGCGCAGTGAGCTTCCAGAAGGCAAGGGATGCGGGGTCTAGTGCATAAGCAAGGGTGCATGAAAGAACAGACCTTCTCTCCCGGCCGGCCTGCCAGGCCCTGCTCCCCAACGTCACCCTGGAACAGAGTAAGAGGCACATCATCATTTCTTACTCATGTTGGCAGACTCATCGCCGCTCCTGCTCCTGCGCACACACACCCTGAGACCCACAGGTTGGTTGCAAGGTCCAGGACTGGGAACCATGGTGCACACCACCCCATCTCACCCCCCCACCCCCACTGCTCTTCCTCTCCCTGAAAGGGAGATAGCACCTGGGGTAACCCTGACCGAGCTTTCAGTTTGAATCCCGTCCAGCCTGAATCTAAACCCTTCTGATCCAACAAGATTAAAAGGCTGAACCAACAACGCCCAGATTCAGGCCAACGCCCACTCTGGCTGTCCCTTGGAGGAAGGCGGACCCCACGTTGATTCTAAAGATGAAGGAGAGGCTGCTGTTGGATTTGTTTAGGCTGGCTGGGCCTTCGCGATTGCTGGACTGCTTGGTTGGTGACACCGGCATGCCACGCCGCTGTGGCTGGGGGCCAGGACGAGCTTCATGCATCCTGCCCTGGTGGTCTGTCAGGGCAAAGGCAGGCAAGCCTGGGGTGAAATTCTGCTGACACCCCACCTTAGATCTGCACGTCAGACCCCGGCATGGGTGTGCTCTGGGTGTGCTCGCCCTGACAGCTTGGGTCAGGTGTCACCCTCCACCACGCGACCTTCACTAGCCTTTGTGGTCAAGATGAATTCCGAGACATAGCACCAGCAGGGCTCTGCCTATCGTCCCATGAAGCTTCTGTGCTTAGCAGGTCCTTACAAACCCCCTTTGTAAGGAGGGGCGTGGCCCACGGTGTGAAAGGGTTCTGCTTTCTAAGTAGCCGAGTGAGTGTTTTAGAAAGCACAGATGTTCTTCTCCAGCCCAGTATGCTCTCTGGAAAACCTCTGGTTTGGAATTCCATGGGGGACTGTGGTTTTCGGATAAGTGGTTGGACACAGGCTGGAAGGAGGAGGAGGAAGGGAGGAGGCAGACAGGAAGGAACGAAGGAAGAGTGCAGGCCCCCACAGCTGTGATAGAAAAACACATCAGTCTGGGGGAAGTGGGGAGGCCGTCCAAAAGAAGACGCAGAGAAATGGGTTCACATAGAAGAACCGTGGTGGGGAGGGGGCTTCATTCTGCTGGGCACAGGGCCGCTGGGGATCAGAAACGACTCGATGGGCCACAGCAGCCAGCCCACTCTCATGTCTCAGAAAGAAAGGTGCCCCAAAGCATGGTTGGGTGAGAGCACACACCTCCCTGTGCAGCGAGATTCGTCACAATGGGAGGTGGCGTCCGGAGTCAACACGCATCGGCAGTCTAGACGTGCACCAACTCGCCTGCCACCCCCACCGTGTCTACAAGCACAATTAGCCAGGATTGCTCTAACCGGAATTGTGCAAATACTTGTCACCCAGACTGTCACTTTGCATCTTCTTTGCGTGTGTGTGGGAGGGGGGCGGGGACCACCTGCAGCAGTGGGAATGGCTTGTCGCATGCTGGGAAAGGCAAGGGGGCTCAGCTCGGTTAGCAGGAAGTTATGAAGCCACCTGACATGCAGCCTACACCTGCGTCGGGAAGTCCGACGGTCCCTGAGGAAGAAGGATGAAGCTCTCTGGGTCTGCCTGGGACAGCCAGTCGCCTGCAACCAACTCCACCCTGAGTGGACCCCCAGGAAGCTGTCTCCCATGACTCGGCTGTGCCCTCCCACTCAGAAAGCAATGCTTGATCTTTAGTCGCCATCGTCGTTGTTAGGGGCCAAGGAGTCGCTTCTGACACACAGCGACCCGATGTTCAACAGCACGGAACAGCATCCTACCCTGCACTGTCCTCACGGTGGTCATGCGTGAGCCCATGGCTGCAGCCACTGTGTCTGTCCATCCGTCTGTCCGTCAGCAAGGGTCTGCCTCTTTGTTGCTGCTCCTTTTCTTTCCCACACATGACACCCTTTTCCAGGGACTGGTTCTCTGCTGACATGTCCTCAGGAGCAGTCTTCTGGGACAGATGAGTTCTGGTAGCCCGTGTGCTGTCGGTCCTCCTCACCGGCACCATTATTCAAGTGGATCGCAGCTTCTTCGGCATTCCCGGTTAAACAGTGTCTTGGAATCCATGCACTCTCCAATTTGAGAGGATGCAACTAAAGCATACGGTCAACTCCCGTCTGAGTCCCAAGGAGACACACACGGAAGCGAACAGCAAACCAAAGCGCATGTGCTAGACCCTCCTGGAGACTGGTGGGAATTTGACCAGCCAATCGATGGTGTCAGCTGGACGTCTGGCCTCCCAGCCTGAGGAGCCCTGCAGGGCGCCACTCAGAATGAGAGCAGGGGGCTTGTCCTACTGGCTCCCCTCTCCCTGGCCAAGAGTGGACAGTGGCTATCTTCCTCTCAGGACCATGGCCCTTGTTGAGGGGCCCTCTCCCCCAGATGCAGGGCTACTGGCTTCCAGGAACCCACTACCT